TAGAAGGGAGTCTAAAGCTTCAATAAGGACAGTAAGAACCTACAGCAAGTATCAACCCATGAGCCAAATTCCTGATGATCCCAGCAGCCAATTATTTGATCGCCTTTTTAGTTCATTTACTATTATTCCTTAATGCCTCCTTTTATTGCCGCATCTGAGAGATCAAGATTATTAATTTTGCTTGTTGTTTGTGTTGCTTTGCAGGTGAACAGGCTTAATAAAGCTACTTCGTTTAGCTGAAATTTGGTCTGTTTTTTCCCCTTTTATTATTATTATGGTTGTTTTAGTTCCAGTTAGCTTCCACTGTTTTTCTCATGACTGTTACCAGCTTTCAGGACGATGTTCAAATGCAGATATTTGGCTCCTCAGACAAAGATAAAAAAAAAAAATCCCACTTTTTGATGGTTTTAACAGAGAGTCAGCTTTCTTTTTTCTGAAGAATCTCCCGTTAGCTTTGCTCTTTGCCTTCATGTCGTTGATAACAAGAAGCTTCTAAAGTGATGAACTGATGGCTTTTGTTGCAAAAGAAAATAATATGAAGCGTCATATGGATTGCAAAGTGTTAAAGCATTTATTGGCCTGTTTTTAGATCTTATTCTGGTTATTAGAGCTAAATATGAGGAAGCTGTTTTGTTCAAGTAAAAATTAGGAGAAAAACACTCAGATTACATTAAAATGACTCCTGTTTTTTATTTTTACATAAAAATATATAAAATAAAGAATATTCCAAAGAAGGAAAACATGATTAGCCAGTTTTAGATCCATTTAATCTTGTAATAACATGAGACTAGATTTTCTTTTGCTCATTTTAGGATATTTCTACCCTTCTTCCATAAAATCTCAGTAGTTTCAATGTTTTTCTAATGAGATGAACTGTTGTTACGTTTGTTCCTCTGAGAGATATTCATAAATGTATTTATAGTTTATATAATCTTTTGCATAAATATAAATTGTGATTTTATTTATTCTAACCGGCGTTGGCCTTCCCACAGTCTGGGGAAGAGAAGTGCTGCTTATAGGAGGTTTAAAATAGTCCAAACATGGTGAGAAATAAGGGAAGATAAACATTTCTACCACAACAATCCCAGGAAAACATATAACAAACATGGCAGACTCTGTGCTTTACTCAAGGTTAGAGTAAAATCTGCTCTTATCATGCAGGACAGAGGTCACTTTAGCTCATTCTGGAAGAAAAAGCAACAGAAAGAAGCTAAATTTACCTTCAGACATTAATGGCTGCTCTTTAAGGTGAGGAAGAAAAAAAATCAAGAATAAAAACTCCCTGGTTTTCAGGTAACAACGTCATTCAGACAAAATGGAGCCTGAGATGCTGAGAGGAGAAAATGACGCGTCTGTTTTTGGATTATTAAAGGCTAGAGAGAGTTTTAAAATCTCCTCTCATCCATCAGTTCATCCTAACAAAGACTTCTGCTTCTGTCCCACAGATTCCATCATAATAAAACCATTTCATTTGTGAACAAAACTAAACAAATATCCAAACAAATAAGACGAATAAAGGAGTAAAAAGGGGGATTTTTCATGTCTGTGTTCAAACTGCATCACGTTTAACTGTCACGCGCAGCCAGAACAAATGCGCAACGGAAGCCTTTTTTACGCACAAATCCCCTGACAGCATCAGACACACCCCTCAGTGTTTCCCCCCCTCAGATGGAAGATAAACATTCACTGCATTCCTCTAATAACAATACTTGCTTTTCTGTACCTGAACAGAGAGGATTTGCTTCTTCTCCTTCTTTACACCGGATCTGTTCCGACTGTTAGAGAAACAGGTTGGATGGATTTTTCCCACTCCCTGTGAGGAAAGAAATTTAGCCTTTTCAGGTCTCCAGTGGAGCTGATGGGGTTCCAGAGATAAGAGGCAGAAAAGGTGCGCACCAAATGCCTGCAAAAGGGAGAGAGAGGTAGGCAGAGAGGGGAGAGAGAGGGAGGGAGGGGGAGGAAGTGGGACAGAAAGAGCGCAGATTTGCGGAGGATCCATTTTCTTCTCCACCTTCATTGGAGCAACATCTGATTTCCTTCAACAAAAATCTAAAAAAGTAAATATTTGGCTTTAGATGATTTTCTCTAAATGTTTGTTTTTATCCTCTTTATTTCTGCGTTTTTCGGTCTAAAGGTTTCACTGTTTTAACAGCAGGAGGTAAGAAACAAAAAGCATGTTTCCATTTAATCATTTAATCATTTAATCACATCCCAGCGGGTATTTGGTCCATGTTAGGAAAAGGAAGCTGTGAAGCATAAAGGTTGGATTTTTATTTTATTTAAAAAAATGTAATCAATGCTGAAACAGTTTTTGCTGAAATTAATGTTGATATAATGTGGATTAAACATTGTGCCACATTTAATTTAATCTGTTTGGGGTTGAGCGCTTTTTGACGTTGAATGGATGTTTTTTTTATTTAAAAAAAATGCGTAAAATTACATTTTTATTCAGGATCGTTGCTGGTTTTAAATAAAGCAGGAACCGCAAACCGCACATTTTCTATTTATAACCGCTCAACCGACGCCCGTCACGCACATCCGCGAGGAATTGTTGCACCACGAGATCAGAGACACATTTATTTAGTTTAAATATGAGCTTTTATAACGATTTATGATTATTTAAATGATTGAAGGGAAATAAAGATATAAAAAAAACGCGCATCCTTCTCATTTACGCACGACGTGCAATAAAACCCTCCATCCTTTTTATACACAAACGCAAAATTATCTTTTAAATCATGAAATATTTGCGTTTCAAACCCAATCCTCATGTCGTGACCAAAAGTTTAATCAATAATTCATAAATGGATCAATTTTTTCTGCAGGTGAAAATAGATGATTTGAAAGGAGGTGGAAATAATCTTCATCCCATGATGGATGATGATGATGTAGCGCATTAATCCGCAGTGCAGGTGAGAGTCTCCTCTCTTTAGGGTCTGTATTGCTCAACAAATTCCTGCCAAGCACATTTTCCTGCTGCTTGGTTCCTGAACTCCTGTCAGACTCGTTCATCTGGATGATGAGGGTCATTCCAGAGGGACCCAACCTCGGTGACTCATCTGATTTTCATTCTGACTCCAAACCAGCGGCTCTTTGATCAAATCATCCCCCCCTCATCTAAGAGTCACCAAAATGATGCTCAGACAGATTAATGCAAACATGTGTCTATAGGGCCAGATTATAGGGGGTCCCAGACAGAAAGACAAAAAAAAAAACAACTACAAATTATATCAGCTTTAATATATCAGTATTGATTAATTCACTAAAAATAGGGGTGTTGTTTATCTTTATGTTTGGCTACATAATGTAATTTATGTTACATCATTTGAAAAGGTCAGTCCAGTCTATAGGGAGGTCAGGACGGGGTCAGGGGTCAGGCTAGAATTTCTGTTCATTGAGGCCCCGTCCACACGAAGTCAAAACG